GGGCGGGGGTGGGGCACCCCGGCGGCGGGGGTCTGGGGGTCGAACCCCTACCCCGGCTTTGCCCCCGGGGGCCCCCGCCTGACAACCCTGCTGAGTGCTAATAAGCGTTCGACGTGTAAAGTGCATAAATGGCTTAGGAAGAAGCACACCTCATCCTATATCCCGATTCCGCTATGGTTTGGTGCTAAGTCCGATCTACTACGTAGAGAGAGAATGGTGATTGAGAGTGAGAACCCATGTCTGAATGTGAAGCGGCAGAAGTGCAGGAAGAGACCGAGAAGATCTAGAAAGAAAAAGACATCGAACAACAGGAAAACGATTCCTGTGAATATACCTCTGGTTTTTCGAACTAATGGCTGTGAACCGACTTTGAATCTAATGACGATTCTGAATCGCGCGAAGGGTAAATCGAGACCCTTGGTCATTAGTAACGATCCATGGGACAGATGGGCAAATGGGTGGAGGGTCATATCGTTGGTATATGAGGATAGCAAGATCACATCTGGAGATTAACGTATGCTGTTGAAGGATGCAAAAGGATGTATTGAAAAGGGTGGGGAATGAGTTTTGGATTGCCTCATGAAGAATAAGTCTAAAGCGGACCGCAAGAAGTCTGAAATTTTGTCACTACTGCGGGCTCCTTGGAAAAGGAAAGAATTGTGGAATAAAGAGAGCTCTGAACTGTATGATATGCTGAAGGGGATGAAAGCTATTGACACGAAGAAAAGGAGGCAAATCGTTAAAGAAATTATTAGCAGGGAACTGAAAAGGAGGATTGGTATTAATCCGAGATTCGGATTAATCCGAGAATAACTTAATAAGATTGGTGACCAAAATTCCATTTTGCGAATCTATAGACAAGAAAGAAGTATGGAAGGAGCTGTGTGATTGGATACGGGAGGAAGTACCTGATACTAACTTGGTGGACCTGCTGCAGAACAAGCTGAGGGTGATCTGGAAGAAAGCCAGGTCAGTCGCAGACTTGCTGCATAACCATAAACACTACGCCAAGAAAGAGGGCACATGTTGTTGTGGGGATTATGACTTGCCACGAACCAATGGGCATGTTCGGGTCCGACTAAGTGATGTACCTCGTTCGATCCTTCCTATTCAATTCCAGGAATTCCCGCACCCGGGGAGAATAAATGATCTATCTGAGATTGTTGCAGCATGTGAACTGGCGGTTGAACCATTGAGAAAGATTGGTCTTTGTATGGATCGGTTACGACTCAATCCTACAAAGATACACAGGGTTGACCCACCTATTGACCCGGAATGTGTTCTTGTTGAATATGTGAAAGGGATCAAGGGTGCTTTTGATGGACTTGTCCTATCACCTGTAGATCG